CTTCCTGATCCTCCCATAGGATCAGCCTCCTTCTCAGTGTCTCCCACGGTGGCTCCTTAGTTTCTGTGCATGTTGTCCTGGCTGACATGAATTAATGATAACAGCAGAGACCTCACAGACCAGGCTCATCCATTACATAACCCAGGCAGGTCTGCTGCAGAGCCACACAGTTTTTGACGCTTAATGGACAGTACTGTACCACACCTTCCACAGGTGACCTCTTTTGCCCTCCTTTCTCATCGCTTCTGTCTTTGTTGCTGCACACAATGGGTATACAGCCATATGGCAAGTGTCACAAGTATTTATTCCTGTCCTGTGCAGTACTGCAGTATAAAAAGAGATAACCTGATTTGATGGTAGATATTAAAGACTTCAGACATGTTTTCCTACTCCAAGTTCCTTAGAGGATAAAGAAAAACTTCCGCAGTTAGTCGCAAAGACAGGTATATACCATTCTGCTGTTATATAGAGGAAGACTCAATTTCACTACCAATTAGAGGGGTGGCAAGCTGCAATTCAGCTCTCCAGTGCCATTAGGCAGCAGAAGGCTCTTATGTGTTATCACTGATAGAAATTCATCTGCTTCAACACCCCAGGGAGGCCTGAATGTCATGAGTCCCATGTGCACCTGGATGCAGCTCATTACATATACTCTGCAAAGCCACACAGGAGATGACTCTTTTGTTAGAACACCCTTTAAAACATCTAGCAAGTTCTCAGTAATGACTACCATCCAGAGGTGAATGCAAAATCTTATTTGAGCTGCCCACATCAGTAAGATGTCTGATATTAAAATGATTGTGAAGTTTGAAAGAGTTTGCTTTATGGCAGCTAATGTTGAGGCGTTTAGAGTCACAGTAAAAAATGTTGCTTTGTTTCAAGGCTGTTAAGCACCATCAGAGTTTTCCCCATAAGAACTGTTTCTATTCATCCCACTTGTATATTCTGCAAAAGAACCTAATCAAATATTGAGTAACTCCTTGCAGAATAACAAACCTACATGCTGCCTGTCTTTGTTTTGTTGCAATCTTTCCTTGTTTGCTCTCTGCCCGACAAAGCGAGTGCACTAAGAGTGAACAAAATCAGCGCACTCCTTACATAAGCTGGACTGGATAGAACAATACACTCTACTGGCAAGGCACTCTCTTCTATCAAGAAGTATTAGTAGACATGGCATTGGTACAGTTTCCTTGGGAACCTTCAGGCAACTTTGTGCTGTGTGCCAAGAGAAGAAATAATCATTATATTCTCAGAAAGTTCCGTTTTTCCTTCAGTGTTTTGACCGTTAGAGCTTTTCATCTACTGTAGGTGCCATTACATGAGCACGTACAAGCTTAATATGGTGAATTTCACAAATATTACAAGAAGCAATATTTGTGCTGCTGATCCAACTTGTCTTAGATGATTAGTTATTGTTTAATTGTTTTTCTTTGCTTTGCTTTGTTTGTAAGAATGCATATTTCTTACTTCCTTCTCACTTTTGCTTCTGTCTTCTTGACAGTCTTATTGTTCCCCATTTGATTTCATCTCCCTCTCTGTCTCTGCCCCTTTAACCCTTCCCCTTATCCAGCTTCATGCCATTAAAGCTGTGAAGAGCCTGTGATAGGCCATTAACAATAGATTAGTTGTAACAGTTCCATTTCCTCTTTCCTCGTGTGTAGTTATCATACAACCAAATGCTCCAAATCTAATTATATTCTACTTGGGTCATTATCTGAGGACAAAGAGCTGGGTTAAGTCAACTGAATTTGATTTACACAGTGCAAAAGGAGAGTACCAGTTTTAACTTAACTATAACTAAATTCACTGTATAATATCATTATACAGTGAATAGTGTAATATCCAGTATTGTTACAGTAGTTACAATACCTAAACAGAGTGTAGTGCCAAGGTGTATTAACCTATATTGACGTAACACGCACACACACACGTGCTAATGCCAAAAATTGACTTAATCACCTCTGTAGAATAAGCGTGAAAGAACTCTGGCTGTAATGGAAGTGACATAAATAGTTCTCAGCAGTTTTCCTGCAGGCAGCAGCACCTGCAGGTCTGAACTGTTGCTCGGCTTTACAGTGGGAACTCCTCCAGATTTACATAATGCACCAGAAATATATTTTGTTTGTCAATATGTTGGCACACTATGTAAGTGGTGCTCATATGACATGAAATTAGTGTTCTCACTACACACACATACACAAACACTCTAATATACATAGCCTCACACTTTGGCCACCATTAGTTTTGCTGTTTTAGCAAATTTAATTTTACTAATTTAGTCTCTTTATTAATATATAACCAAAATGCACAAGAAATATGTACAATAACATTTTTTCAGAAGAAGAAATGGCTTCTACAGTCCAAAGTCAGCATTTAGTGTGATCACCCTTTGCACTTAGCACAGCTTGAATTCTTTTGGGGAGACTGTCTTGAAGTCTTGAAACCACAACAGACCCTTCACCATGTGTCACTGAAGGCTGCAGGCTCTCATTCTTCCATCTCTCTCCAACTCATCCATCCATCCATTATCTATACCACTGGAGCCAATACCAGCTGACATTGGGCAAGAGACAGGGTCCACCCTGGACAGGTCACCAGTCTGTCACAGTGCTGATGTAGACAAAGAACTACACACACTCACACTCACTCCTATGGGCAATTTAGTCACCAATAGTAAACAGTAAAAGAAAGTTATCTGGCTTTATTTATTTAATAACTCCTGATTTGTGAAATAAATATTTGTATGAGTCCCAGCATGCTGGGCTCACATTATAGAGAACAACCAGTGACTGAGGCAAGGAACTCAAATGGAGGGTGAGCAGGAGCAACTAGTGAGTATGTAATCCTAAATTGCCTGTCTAAATATTTCATTTAAACAAGACCTTATCTGGGCATTCCTTAGGGAGGTGCATTTGAATGTTTGCCCAAATGCTTATTGTAGAGTTGAATCACAACTGAGCATGAAAGAGCTTAATTGAAAAGAAGAGGGTTGTTGGGAAATAGGCTGCATTGCCTCTGTCACTACTCACTGCTGGCCCTCTTGTCATTGCTGCCAATCTTGAATGGCCATAAACAGCCAATGAGATACTGTTTAGAAAGGGAGAATAGTAATATGAAACCAGGCCAGGCAAGTTGCAAGGACAGCGCCGCCATGGGTGAGTGTGAGTTGGCACCTCAGATGGCTGCCTCGGTTCTATACTGGAGACAAATTCCTTGTGTGTAAAACATACTTGGCTAATAAAAATGATTATCACTGTCAGATGTAGATTTGCAGGATTCAAGTGTGCTCTTTAGTGAACGCTCGGAGCAAACCCCAAACACAGTAAGAGGATTAAATATACTATCAAGCCTTGGAATTTCTTGAGATCCTTCAAGTAAAAGTGACAGAGGGAAGGATATCTGCAATCCAGAGGCAGAAAATAGATGGATTGATGATTTGATACTCAACGGAAAAATACTTGAACCTTGTTCTGAAAAATCAAATCCTAATCCTGTAGTGCTTTCATCCTCTGAACAGCTCTGATAGTTTCTTACCTTGAAAACCGAGTTGTTGGGTAAATTTAGCACAGCAACAAATTGGTTTCAGTAAGTCACAAAGCCACTAACTCTGCGATCAATGAGCAAAATGATCTGGGCTGTGCAGTGGTTAAATGAAAACATCCAATCGCTGCATGTGTGAATGTTTTAAGGCTAATTTCAAAGGTTGATATGAAAACATCCAATCGCTGCATGTGTTCTTATGTTTTAAGGCTAATTTCAAAGGTTGATGCTTGTCACACACACAGTTACTGAGGCCAGAAATGGAAGAACATGCTGCCTGATAAATGAGAGAAAAAGGTAGTTAAAAAGAAACTGGCCATTTTCATGTCAGCTTTTTCCTCTGCAACAGTCCGCTCATCGATTTCCTCACTAAGCAAACATTTACACTAATATTGTTCCAGACACTGCCCAGAGAACATATTGATTGCGAGGGGACAGCCAGACACTGCTGATGCATCCTCAATCACCAATAGCAAAATTAAACATGTCCTCATGATTGCTGGGTATCTTACTCTAATTTGAATTTGGAGGAGGCATGAGCATTACTGTGTTCAGCAACAGAGAGGGACACACAGATGAGAGAGGCAGATAGACTCTCTGGCCTCACATTAGCAGATAATAAGGTGAAATACTGCTGTATGCAGATAGGCTTCTGCAGTAATTCTGTGGATAACAATGAATGGTCAAAGATGGTTTAAGGCATCTAATGTTCCAATGGTGTAAAATTACTGACTAGAATTATAATACTTGAGTTTTTAGTCATTTTCACAGTTCCTCCAGAACAATCTGACATTAGTTCTCTGTTCAAGTAAAGTTGCGAGTTATAAGCATTGGCTGCACACATTCACAGTATTGTAGAAAATCACCAACAGCCAACAGACTGTCGTGATATTTTGCAGCGAATCTTTCCATACTTGAACTGTTGATGATTGGCTTCATCTGTTCTCCTTGCAGAGATGCTTGTCTGTAATTTATGCTAATTGCACAAACATTCTTGTTTTTCTTTGGGCAGTATGACATAACAGTTGTAGTTTCATTTCAAGAGCTACACTCTGTCCGGCACACTCTGTTTATGATTGTATCCATGTCACCAGACTTCTATCTCTTTTCACTCCACAGGCAATGAGATGTGAGAAAGTTGTCATATTTCTTGGTTAAACAATGATGCAGCCCTTCATACATATTCCTTGGGGAACTAAATTTATTTAACATCCTTCACATGAAATCTTAGCCATGAAGGCTCGGATTTGGCTCAATGGCCCCCATGTTCACTGCATCCCTTAATATTAAGCTATCTTAAATGCTGTGCACTTTTGATGCTGACATGTTTTGTGTAATTTGAGGTTAGAGTGTATTCATTAGGATGAACCATTCCAAACATAAGTCACATGATGTACAGTACATACTGCATAGTGTAAAATTGCATCGTCTTTGTAACAAAGACATCCCTTATTCTCCAGCCACATTATATCAAGATTGAGAAAAGAAATGTTAGAAGTCACCCGCAGTCTCCATGACAGCGAGAGCCGGAGGTGGGCGTTGAACAATTCAGAAGGGACCAGCCCACGCACTGTGACCCTGATCAGTGGAACCACTGGAACTAAGCTATTTGGCTCCATTGCCCTGGACTGCAAGCCAAGCTCTGGGATGCCAGCTTCTTTGCTCAAGGCTACAGCCTTTCCCAAAGGTGTATTACAGTAAGTCTTGGGATGCTTTATTAAAGAATACAGTCTACACACATTTATAGCCTCTTGCATGGTATTTGGTCTGGAATACAGAAGCCAGTGGGCAGATTGTGTGGGACTGGATCTACATAGTGTACTAAGATTTGTGTGTGTAAGCATGATGTGGTTGAAATTGCTCAACAGATAAAATATGAATTTGTTTATAAAGTAGGTCATGAAACAAGACAAGATTTGACAGGCTTGGGGATGCTTTTACTGCACACATTCACTATACTGTATGTCATTCACTATACTGTATTATTTATCTTTGCATCTGTCTGTCTTTTTTATGTTGCACTTTTCAAACACTGATTTTGGAGCTTGCCACAACAAAATGGTTAAAACACAGTATGAGTGTTGTAAAGTACATACAGTAGCCTATACTGGGTCTTTGTAAACATCTCTCACTATATTTATATATTATCTAAATATTAGATATTACTGCACACTGCAGGTGTCACTGTGGTTATGAGGCACAGTCGTCTACTGTACCTAGTCTTGGTTGAGAACATGATGGAGTATGCTGGACAGATTGCTTGGTGAGAAGGCCATTGTACCAAAGTGGGGTGGTCGACAGGGATGCGTTTTGCCCCCCCTGTTGAGGCGCAGCAGGGGGGTATGTAAAGGTGAAGTTCTGGGTCTCAGGGCCCACAATACAGATCCCCTGGGGAGAGTAATCACCATGTGGCCAGCAACAGTCAGCACAGCAGTGGCCCCCCGTCACAAAGACACTCCTCTCCAGAGACATGGTTGCGCCTTTGTGCTTCTCCACACTCTGAGTGTGCCCCATTCCAGGGGGCTTGAGAGGCACCACAGGGTGCCCATTAAACCATTAGGAGTGGCAGACAGCCCTGACAGCCTGAAACACAATACATACACACACACTCGCATACAAAGCCACACAAGCATTTGAAACCTACACATGTACTGTAAGTATACAAATGACCCGAGATGACAAAAGCAAAGTATTGTTCACTTAACATTGCTGTCGGCCATTTAGAAATTGAATGGCAGAGTAAGTCCTGTAGTTAGTTGCCCTGTCACCCAAGTTGATTGAGATAGGGCAACACAAATAAAGCAGACACACAAACATAGGTCTGAACACAGGAAAGAACAGCATTACACAATATCAAACAGCACAAGATTCCAGTGCATGCTAAAGTGCAACAACGATAAAAACCACAAAATGTTCAACAGACTATATAAGAACTTTGGTTATTAAGACTTAGCTATGTGTCAGATTTAGGTGCTTGATTGCTCTAAGATAGGTGTTGCCTCTGTAGTGAGACTAATCCTGCACCTTCTGCCTGAAATGTAAAGTAACAGATGGTACAAAGCAGACTATAATGTTGGTATTTCTGAGTACTGGCATTTTGTCTGTATCAAACAAAGATGGAAACAGTGGGAACACTCTGAAGTGAGAAAACACAGTTCTGGGTACTGAGACATGATTTACTGATATTGACAATTTGTTTCCTATTAGACCAGATGTACAGGATGCAATCACTGAGCAGTATATCAACATCTAGTGACTGCAGTGTTGTGGAGGCACCTAACAAGAAAACTAGTGTTAGACACAGTCTGAAGTCAATTAAGAGCTCTTAAGCATATGAAATGTAGATTGCATTGTTTAGAAGAATTTGTATTAGTGCAATTAATACAAATGGGTCAACCACAACCCTGGAGAGATGTTTACTGTAATAACCAACATGTTGCAATCATTAAGACAGAACCTTGCAACAGGAGTTCCAAGGCTCTTCTGAGGGTTCTAAATTGGTTCTAAATGATAGTGCTTGCTAGTTCATCAGCACAGGACGTCAAGGTTAGCTGTTGACTTTTACTGTTAGAATGGACAGATGGTGCGTTATAGCACGGGAGTTGGCTCACTCACTTATTGCTGACATCCATAGATAATGGAAGGGTACTGTACAGCACAAGACAAGAGACAACTGAAAAACTGTGATCAATATTCATGTACAAGACTTCCAAATTGTAAAAGGTTGGTACTACCCATGTAAAATAACAATGATATTTTAAACAGACAAATTTCTTTTAATATGTCCTATTCAGAACTCCGGTCTCAGGATTTCAGTTATTTTTCAATCCAAAATAACCCACAGTTAGCCTTGTGGAACATTGTTTTTCTTTTTAAAATAGGTGCCTAAATTGAAACCACAAGGGATTTGTCAATTTGGTGGAATGTACTTTAGTTTACCGGAGGTGTTGGGAAAAAGATCAGGGGATATAGGATACAGAACACTTATTAGGTTTTTAGAGAACACAGGGTTACACAAGATAATATAAGGTGAACTGAGTGGGGTTATTTTGTTGTAGTAGTAGGTAGGGGCTGTTCTGATCCACACTCCAGTCTAGAAGGTGGCGGTAATGCACCTAAAGCTGTTTGCCAACCACCATTATACAAAAGAAGAAGAAGAAGAAGAAGCAGAAGAAGAAGGTGGAGGAGGAGGAGGAGGAGACTGAACTACTGTCCTCAGGTTTTACCCCAGAGCCATAAGAATACTTAATAATTATCTCCAAACCACTTTTACTGAAGACAGCATGTTTTATCACGTAATATTTATTGATTTTAAGTATTTATTGATGCTCTTTTAAGTGTAATCACTCACTAAAGTGTATATGCTGGCACAGAGTGTGTGTTTTATTGTATTTATATTGGTACACTGAAGTGCATCTAAATTTCATTGTATATTTTTTTGTACAATGACAATAAAGTATCTATCTATCTATCTATCTATCTATGAAGAAGAATAATCTGGCCTAGGAAGTGAACTGCGTAAACACATCCGGTTGCCATATTTGTTCAAGGTGCACTTCGTTAAGCAGTTAACAAACGTTTTTATCCCCAGATTGGTTGGATATCTTTTCAGGGTTATGGATACTCCTTTACAGACGCGAGAATGTTTGTCTAATGAGCTGATTGGTTAAATTTTGCAAAACGGAACTGGCTACTGTGCGGGTTACCTACAGTTGTAAAACTGAAACAGGTGGTTAGACAAAGTTTTCAAGATTCATTTTTGTTGTTCTGTGGGCCTCTGTGCAATCATTGGGCATTGCATTGTGTTATTATGGTTATTTTGACTGCAGTCCCACCATTAGATCTACTTGAGACATTGGTATTAAAAAGCAAATCTAATAAATATTAAAGGGTTGTGGTGTTTTATAGAACAATTAAACAGCACAATAATATGTGGCAGCTCAGAGCAATCAAATCACAGGACAATACATGATACAAATACAAAACAATAATATTTAAGCCAAAATTCAGAAACTATGACTATATTAACTAAAATAAAGTTAGAAGAAGAATATTAAAAAATCCAAAGAGAAAAAAGCCACTTAAAAAGGGGTGGGGCGGTCTAGGTGTCTCTGATGTCAGCTGTCAGGTTAAGATGCTCGTCCTGTATCTCCTTTGAAAACTTGATATACCGTCCAGCCCTAGTCTACTTAGCTAATTTACTGTATTTGGCAAAGGCAGTACTGTAGAAATACAGCATAAGCACCGCTCTTTGACATTTATAGCTACAGCTATCTAGGCCTCCAGAGCCCTTCAAGTGTCAGTAGCTCTTGTTAAATTATGACAAGGCAAACAGCAATAACTGTATTGCCCGAAACATCCATGCAAAGCATTAATAAACATTTTACAGTAGTGCTTACATTTATTATTAACTGTATCTATGACCTTTCCAAAGTTGTTTTATTCCTGCTCCTCATGGACACGTGCACAACAGCACTACTGCTGAAAAAACAATCCAAGAGAAAGCTCAGACAGGTGTTGTTAGGTTCCAATGCTGAGATTGAAATGGAATGGCTGCTTGTATCGGCATGCAGTTAGGCTTTAACAATTCCCACACAGCATTATTAAGATAGGACTACTCTCTCTCTCTGTCATCAACACTTTCTTTTTTCTGTAGTTATACACACTTCTGCATTCATTAACATACACGTGCAAAAATGTGCCCAATGTACACACATTCAGCAGAGAAGTAGCAGTGTCCTTGAACAAAACGCTAGTCTGTAGTTTTTTACCTAGATCCCTGCTGTGACTACAGGCTTGTGAGGGTCAGGCAGACAACTGAATGACAGTGTAGCTTAAAGAACTGTGTTATGAAACCTCTGACATGTTCTGCAGGCTGCCAGGATGCTGTGTTTGTGGCTAGATACTTTGACTTTTTAAGCTGGTCAGTGTCAGTCTGAAATGATAATGTTTTACCTGGACTGAACAAAATGCATGTAAAGGACAGTTTCGATATAGAGAGGGAAGATACAGCTGTGCCAATATGATGATATATGCTGTGACTTTTCCATGATTATTTTGCATGTGATGATTTACACAATGTGTAAGCAGATAAATGCATCCATATCATAGTAACACATTTAATTAGAAAGTGCATCAGTGCATTGAATAGTTGAAGAGAACTGTAGTTATTGTAATTTGTTATGAGAAAATAAGGAATAGATATGAGTGTTTCAGTGTTTTGAGATGAATGAAGTTCAGGTAGGGACCATGCCAAAGCAGCTGAGAAATAAAATCATAAAAGCTGGCCAAATTTGATAACTCATTTAAATACACAAAGTCTTGATTTTGTCACAGTCACAGCTTTACAGATGTTTTTTAATGCCCGTGTTGAGTGTTCTCATATCAGTGAATGGATTATGCCATGTACTCTGTCTTCTGACACCCACGAGAAAAGCAAGAACTGTGCTACATGAAAAAGCCTCTCAAAACATGCTGCTACACACATATTATTGTCGTACACATGTTGCTTTATTTTGACCTTTAAATGGCAGCTAAAGCAGAATAATTCAAGACCTCTAGCTCTAAAAATCTGCAGTAATATGATTAGGCAGAGTGGCTGTAACACATCTGTGCAGATGATAACGATGACAGATAACGACATATGTTGGCCAGACCTGTCGTTGTGGATTTTCTGCGGGCAGTCACATTGTGGTTCATAACATAAACACATGATCTTGTTTGCCTCAGGCTCTGGCTATATGAGAAATTTGAATCCTCTATCTACCATGTCTTGGTTCAATACGGTTCGGTTTTCCTTTT